AGAGTTTCTGGAAGAACTTAGGCCCCATTTAAGAATGACTATTCAGATGTCATATGGATTGTACTCACATAGCTATCACTTTCATAAATGTCCCTGCCAAACCCCAAAACCAGAGAGGATAGGCCTTCAAAGGAGAAAAGAATGACCCAAAAACAAATCCTACTTTCCTGCTTCAGAGTTCCTTCGGCTCCAAGAAGGCCAAAGAATTCTAGGATTCTAAGGTTGGAATTTTTTAATTGAACGGATTCCTTTAAAAATATTTAAGGCTTGTTATGTATTATGTACTGTCAAGATGGAACCAACCCATAGCTGACTCTCCAGCATGGTTTCAGAGGCAGTTAATGGCATGGGGGAATATTGGCCATCCTTCTTTTGTAGAGCAGTTGGTGGATTTGAACTTTGTGCCTTTGGATTATCAATGCTACTCCTTACCACTATGATGACAGAGCTCCCTATTCAAGGTTTAGTGTGTTTGATGATTCCTAACTATGAAATATAGATAAATATGAGAAAGTGAGAGAGAGAGAAGGGGGGAGAAAGAGAGAGAGAGATTTGTGTGTGTCAGTCATTGAAGAACTAACTCACAGGTGACCCTTCAGTAGGTTGTCAGAGGCTATAAATCACATGGGAGGAGAACCATTCTCTTTTCTCCATGGAGTTGCTAGTTGATTCATACCACCTGCCTTTGGGTTGACAGCCAACTTCTTGCCCACTAGACTGCCACAGTTATATACACACACACACACGTATGATGTTATGCACAGCTGGATAGATAGATGTGTGTGTGTGTGTGTGTGTGTGTGAGAGAGAGAGAGAGAGAGTCAGTTATTGCAGAACTGACTCATAGCTGACCCTCCAGAAGATTTTCAAAGGCTATAAATACTACCAGAGGAGACTGTTCATATTTTTCCTGCGGAGCAAATGGTGAATTTGAACCTTGTGTCTTCAAGTTGGCTGCTCAAACACCTATAGATCATCAGAGCTCCCTTTTATTTATATCTGTTCAGATAGATAGGTGGATAGATAGATGATAGACAGATATAGTAGAGATTGCATAAGATTATTAATATCATATGCAAGTAAAACCTTACTGAAGATTATAAAAACACAATAGTACAATGACAGAGAATTGTCAGAAATACAAGATGGATTTAGAAGTGATCATGACACTAGGATATCATTGCTAATGTCCGATGGATCTTGGCTGAAAGCAGAGAGTAGCAGAAGAAAAAGCAAGCAGTATTTGGTGGTATGACTAGTGTTGGCAGGGCATGAATCCTTGTGTGTGTGTGTGTGTGTGTGTGTGTGTGTGTGTGTTTAGAGTTGAACTGTAACTTTGTATGAACTTTGTATGAACTATAACTGTCTTCATGAACTGTAGCTGTGTGTAAAAAATTACTGCCACCTGGTGGATCAGAGTTAAGAAGAAAATCAACATAAATAAAACCAAAATCCATCCCTCAAACTCATTGCCACTGAGTTGGAACTGACTCACAGCTGAACTTCCAGTGGGTTTTCAGAGGCTATGAATCACACAGAGAGCTCTGGTGGCGTAGAGGTAAGGAGCTGTGCTGCCAATGCAAAGGCACAAAATTTGAATCTACCAGCTGCTCAGTGAGAGAAATCACCTCCCATGTGATTTACTGACTCTGAAAACCACTTGAGGGTCCGCTGTGGGTCAATTTAGACTTGACTGCACACAGCAACAAAAACAATAGATCACACTGTAAGGAGATTTTACCCAATTTTGCCCCATAAAGCCACTGGTGGACTGAAACTACCATACGTACCACTTTTGGGTTCGCAGTGCAGATACTTACCCTTTATGCTACCAGAGTTCAATATATCTCTAAATTATTATGTATTTGATTTACCACCAAGTTGTTTTAAAGTAATATTCATTGTTGTTGTTGTTTTTATGTGCCGTCGAGTTGCCTACGACTCATAGCGACCTTATGTACAACAGCCCTAAACTCCGCTCTGTCCTGTGCCAATCGCACCGTCTCCAACACTCCCATCCCAATTATCCCAGTCAC